GCAGCCTCTCCACGTGCTCAGGATGGTCTCACGTAGCGCCTGTCACCTGGAGGGCCAGGCCTGTGATGTCGGCATTCTTTGCTCTCAGAGAGGGGACAGGGGACAGCTGGGGTGAAAGAAGGCATCACGAGGAGTCGGAGCCCTCCCCTGTTGGTCACTGGGCAGCACGCCTTCACCTGGATCCAACCCACGAGCCTCGGGCGAGCCTGGAGCCCACCCTCCCCTGTGCGTGCAGCCCCCACACTCTGCAGCTGCGGGACCACCTCGTCCGCGTCCACATTTTGGGTTCTGGGTTGCATGTTCTGCACCTCGGATTGCAGGGTCGCCACCACCCTTTCCACCCCACAAGCTCAAGGTGCACAGAGGGCTTCTGGCTGGCCCAAGCCCTACTTCTCCTCCCCTGAGCTTCCAGAGCCGGCCCGCCCCTCATGGGACAACGGGGCTCTCCCCCGACTCTGGGCACCAGTGTCATTTGTGCTGACCTTGCCTCCCCAGGCTTGGCACCCATGCAGGTGGATGGGCCTTCCGGGGACCCTTACTTCTTCCCCTGGGCTTTTCCTTCCTGACCATCCACATGGATGGCCATCTCTTCCCCTACCTAGACATGTTTAGACCAGCTGCCGGCCAGCTGAGGGTCCGTGTTTCAGACACTCCATCCTGGGGCCGATCGCTCCCCAGCATCGTCCCCACAGGAGACAGGTGCCGGGTGCTTGAAAGCCAGTCTGCCACGCGAGGGTGACACCAGTGGGCACGTGCTCTGGCTGCTCCTCTGACACAGGGATGCTGTGGTCAATGTCCAGCTGAGGGATCCTGCGGGACTGAAATGGCTGTTTTCTAACGTGTTGGTCTGCCTGAGGAGCTGTCCCAATGTAACTGTTATCCCCAAAAGTCCACCCTAAAAGTTCTTTAACAGAGAAACATATGGGGCTGGGGCGTAGCTCAGTTGGTAGAGTGCCTGCCCCACATGCGCAAGGCCCTGGGTTCCATCCTCAGCAACACCAAAAAAAAAAGTGAAACATACTCGCCCGTGACCACGCGTGGTGCCTGTAGCCAGGCAGGGCCTGAAAGTGCTCCCAGGACACTGCACCCTGCCCCTCCTAGCCGTGAGCTTCCCATCTCTCAAAGTTCTCAGAAAGGTAACACTGGGTAGAATACTCAGGAACAAGATCTTTAAAACTCAGCTTTATTTGTGCTACCTTATAAGCTTCATAATACATTCTATCTGTATTTTTTAAATCAAATTTACTTTTAACTGATACATAAAAGCATAATCATGGACACGTGCCTGAGAAAACCCAGACACAACGTGACGCTTGTGAGATTGTGTGCCCCTGTGGCCTGAGCCAGCTTCCTGGGTGCCAACGTCAGTGTTCTCTCCCCTTCATGGATGAGAAAAGCGGCTCAGAGGTTCCACGGCTGCCCAGCTGCGCGTGCCCACCTGGTGGGGCTTCTACCCACACGAGGCGGCTCACATGGGGTCTGGATTTTCTCAGACAGTGAGAGCCTGCACGGCCACAGTCCTGCTGGCCCAGCACCCAGGGAGGCCCCACTGCACCCGGCCTGGCGCTCCACCCGCCTGCTGGAACCGACACTGTGAGGACAAAGGCGTTGGCCAAGGACAGCGCTCACGGAAGCCTTCTCGCTTCTGCGGCCTCCGTCGGCTCCTGCCCGCCTCAGCCCGTGGCCGGAGCAGCTGCAGCAGGGCTCTTGCGGGTGACACGGCTCCCGGCCTTATTTTCACCATCTCCATCTTCACCGACGACCATTAAAGTAAAATCCTGTGCCAATCTGGAAAGTCCTCCTCCAGCCCCTGGTTCCTAAGTTAGGGCCTACTCTGTGTCTGCAGGGAATATTTCTCCGCTCGCCAAGCAGGGCATGGCTCACAAAAGGAGGTGTGGGGTCAGCTCCTAATTAAAGTCCATATATTGAAGAGGCACTCACCTCTAACCTGGACACGGTCACTGTCTGTGTCCAGTTCGGCCATTAAATATGGCAATTTATTCTGGTTTTTTTTTTGGGTGCTTAATCAGTTTATTTATCTTTATCGGTTCTTTTTAGTTATGCATAACATTTGGACTCACTGGGACATAATCATCAAATCATGGAATGGATCTTACTTTGATTCAGTCCCCAGTACTTTCCCTCCCTGTCCCTTCCTCCCACCCTCTGTCCCTTCCTCTACTCTGCTCATCTTCTGCCGTGGATTTACAGTTTTAAAGTTAGTGTCCAGTGGACGTCCATGACGGGAGCCTCACGGTGTTGGGCCCACACAGGCACACAGGAAAGTCACATCAGACCCACCCACTGCCTCTCCCTACCCCCTCCTCCTGCCTTCCTTCATTCCCCTTCACCTATTCCCTGACCCTTCTATTTTTTTTATCCCCCCTTATTTTGGACTAGCTTCCAGGAGAACATTTGACCTTTGAATTTCTGGGTCTAGCTTACTTCACTTAGATGATAGTCTCTAGATCCATCCGTATTGGTAAATGTCCTGTTGTTCTTCTTTATGGCTGAATAATACTTCATTGAATAAGACTCCATCTTCACTGTCTAGTCATCTATTGAAGGCACCTAGGTTGGTTCCATGGTTGGGCTATTGTGAATGGAGCTGCTACAACATTGACATGGCTGCATCACTGTAGTAGGCTGATTTTAAATCTTTTGAATGTCCACTAAGAAGTGAGATAGCTGGGTCATGTGGTGGTTCCATTCCTGGTTTTCTGAGGAATCTCCATGCTGTTTTCCAGAGGAGTGGCCCTAATTTGCAGTCCCACCAGCAACGTACAAGTGTACCCTTTCACCACATCCTCACCAACATATAGCGTTATTTGTATTGTGGATAATTGCCATTCTGATTGGAATGGTATGGAATCTCAGTGGAGTTTAATTTGCATTTCTCTTTTTGCTAGAGATGTTGAGTATTTTTTCCTATATTTGTTGACTATGTTTCTTTTTTTGAGAAGTGTCTCTTTAGTTCTTTTGACCCTTTGTTGATTGGGTTATTATTATTATTATTATTATTATTTGGGGGTTAAGTTTCTTGAGTTCTTTCTACATCTGGATATTACTGCCCTGTCTGAAGAGCAGGAGGCAGCAATTTTCTCCCGTTCTGGGGGCTCTCATGATTGCTTCATTCCTGCGCCCCCAGAGGCCAGCAGGGGCCACTTGATCCGGGACTTTGAATCCCTAAGCTGCGAGCTATCAGCCTCTCCTCTCTGTGAGCTGCAGGCCTCAGGCCTTTCACCCTAGAGGCAAAGCCGGCATGGACAGGTCAGCCACCTTTCCTGCTTCAGCTCTTCCAACGTGTTTGTAGGATGCCGTGGAGATTTTCCTGCCCGTTGGCCTTTTGGATGTCTGGTCACATGCGGTCCCTTTCGGGGATCTGTGCGTTCCCCAGTAGGGTTGTTTGCAGGCTTGTTGGGGCTCCCCCGCGTTTTAACTAGGGCCCCGTTGACTGGGAGCCTGCACCACCCCCTTACTCACCCCCGCAGGGAGTCAGCTCAAACTGCAGCTGGGGAGGGACGTCCACAGCCTCCGCTGCCACCAGGTCCTGGAGGCCCTCCACAGTCCTCCTGCCTGTGTCCCAAAGCCCTCTGTGTCTCAGGATCATTCTGTCCCGGGACTTGGTCCTCCTCTGAAGCACTCTTCTTTGGCGATAGGACAGGCGGTGAGTGAGGAAAAGCTCACGGGTCCTCAGGCTACATGCAGACAAGGCAAACCGAGGCCTGGGGAGATCCTGCAGAGTGTGTGTGGGCAGACAGGAAGCCAGTCATTGGGCAGCTGCCATCCAGGAGTGGCTTGGGCCCCCCCGGGGAGCACGAGAGGGCGGGGTCTGCGGGCTGGATGCAGAAATAAAGCAGAGAGAAGCCTGTTCCCACAGCGGCCAGGCCAGGCGCCCTGCGTGGGAGACCCTGGGTGGCGACTGCGTGTGGGCTGGCTGGACACTGATGAGAAGCACCTCGGACTGGTCCCCTCATGTTGGCAAGTCCAGTCAGGCTGAGGGCACTGCTGAGGTCCACGGGCCCTGCCCGCCCCAGGTGCCCAGGCCTCCCTTGGTCTCAGCCTCGACATATGCAGGTCTGATGTCAAACGCAAGCCCGTCCACTCTGTAGCAGGCGGCATGACAAGTAACTTAGTGACTCACGGTTTTCTCAGAATTTTAGGTTCACACACAAGTTGACAAGCACCGTCCCTTCCCAGGCTGCGGTGGAGGGACCATGTGGCCAGTGGCTCTCCAGACACAAGCCCCAGAGGACTGAAGGCAGCTCCTTCCAGCACTGGGCACAAGCAGCCATGACAGGGGACCCCAAGGGATGCTCATGGGCCATGGACACACAATAGCCACTGCCCTTGGCTCTCATCAGTCCTGGAAGCCTGGAGTCCCGAGCTGCCGCTGCTGCGGGGAGAACCCTGAAACCCTCACCCCAAGGAAAGGTTCCCCTGGAGGAACTGTCCAGAAGTCCCTGTCCTGGAGGAGGCCAAGTGACCGCCGATGGGTGCCCGCGCTCTGGGGCGGTGCAGGGAGGCAGGGATGGTCTCCACCGCAGTGACGGTCACAGAAAACACTGACCTGTCTGAATTGTGCGCTTTGACTCTCTCGGTGAGCTTCACGCCATGTGAACGACATCTCCGTTTCTGAGTGTTCAGAGAGGCAGACCTGGTGGTCCGGAGCCCTCGCGCACCCCTCCAGGGCCCAAGCGCTCGCAGCTGACGGCGGACCTTCCTAGAACCCGGGCTCTTGCCCCTTCATTCCAACCTCCAGCCCCTGCGCTGGGTGATGTTTCAGCCCATCCCAGAATTCACACCCTTCACACAAGACAGAGACTCTGGAAAAAAACCACCGTGAATCATCACGCTGAGAACCCATGAGTTCTCCAGATCCTCTTGATTTGCTCATTAAACATGTATCTATGTTTTGTTTGACTCAAGATCCCTAGAAGATTCCAGGCGAGTGTGCCCAGGCCTCCCCTCCTCTGTAAGGGAAGACAAGGGACACTGAATGACAGCCAAGCTTAGTTTTAATTTTGATATGTCTTACTTGAAATATTGAGTATTCTATTCAAATCCTTCACTGATCAACTCATGAGCTTGTTTTATAGTACTTACTGCTCCGTGCACTTGGTATTGTATTGGGAACATTCAGTATTTGATGATGTTTGCTGCTCCCCCCTCGAGCCATTGACTCAAACATTCAGACAGCACCGCGGAGACTCTGGGGTGCTGAGGAGAGTCCAGGGCCCCGTGCAGAGGTGCAGCGGGGTCTTCCCCAGGTCAGGTGGCCACTCATGAGCATGTGGTTGTTGATTTACAGCAGGTCAGTGAGATCAAGGTGGGTGGGCACACTGAGTGATATGAGATGGAGAGGGAGGGACAAGCAGGACAAATATTGGCCCAAATTAAGTTTGAGAGAGGTGGGAGGGCAGAGAAGAGAGAGGGAGAGACAGGGAGACTCAGCCCAGAAAAGGCAGAGACCAAGGTCATCTTCATGAGGCAGCTTTGCCACCACCCTTTCCTTCAAGGGCTTACCCCTGAGTCACCCGTTACCTGAGTGTGTCCTGGGTTGCAGAAAAGGCACGCCCACGGTGCTGCATGTCATCTGATCACTTGTACCGTGAGAAGCCAGAGTCAGCTGTGCTCCTGTGAGGCCACCTTGGGACACGGCTTCAGCTGTGCCCGGTGTGGACTTGGGGGTCACCTCATCTGCTCCCGCCACAGAAGAGCCACTGGGTGAGGCCCCCTCCGCCGTCCAGGCAGGCTGCTGCTCTTCCTCGGGGAGACCCTGCGTGTCTGTGCCCGCCTGTCTGCGCCCACACCTCGAGCCTGCTCCAGCACACTGCTGCCTCTGCCCGCCCGAGGGCATCTCCATGAGCCAGCACCCTTGGTAAGAGCCGCACAGCGCAAGCTAAGACCACTTTGGAAAATGGATGAACCTCCTGGCGAGAGGTGTTTTCTTCCAGGTGGTCAGTGCGTCTTCAAACCCTCTTCCTCCCGGCTTTCCCTCCTGCTTCTCCACACTTACCCCAACTAACACCTTCTGTGGGTCAGTCTGCAGCCTTCCCTCCCTTCCCTCCGCGTCCCCACGGAGGCTTCACGGGGCTGGTGGACCAGTCGGCTGGGACAGAAGGGACGTGATTTGCCCTCGTTTTGGTCCACACCGGCCGGAGTCGAGAGGGCTGGTCCAGCAGGGAAACAGTTTCTTTCTCCTGGTCAACTGCCTACGTGAAGGTGGGCAGAACCCCACCAGGCAGCGAAGGGAGAGAGAACAGTGGTGAGTGCTGTTCTTGAGAAGCCTGCTCACGGCTCCCGACTCGGCAGCACATCCGGGAATGACCACACCGGCCCAGGCACTGCACTGGGGAGCGTGGAAGCCGTGTCCCTTCAGAGTCACCCGGGCCACTTCACCTCTTGCATTTGGCAGGGACAGAATGGCGGCCAGGCAGAGGCATCTGTTTCCAAGACAGCACTCAGCCCCTCGCCAGTCCTGACCCTGGCAGCTGGGCAGCAGAGGAAGCTGCGCCTGAGGACCCCTCTTCCAGCTGCACCAGCACAGCGGCTCCTTTGGCCTGTGCGTCTTCCACCTCTGGCTCCAATGTCCTGGAAGTTCTGTCCTTGGCTCTTTTACGACTGGCGGATGCCCTGAAGGACTCCCTCTTGGACAGGAGCACCTGGAGATCTCCACTCGGCTGGAACCTCGTGCAACGCCCTTTACCTCTGGCCTCGGGGGTGGCCCTGCGATGATGGTCTGTAGGAAGAGGACTGGTGTCAAGGTTCTGGGGGGCAGAGTTAGGACGAGGCTGGGGCTGCTCGTCCTTCCTGAAGGTGGTCCCTGAGCCAGAGACGTCACCTGCGGCCTTGTTTTCTGCAATGCCTGAGAAAAGCGGGAATCCCACAACAGAAACACTAACTGCACCTGCAGGTGTCAGCAGGGACCCACAAGGGGCTCAGCTCGGCCCGAGAGCCCCGGCAAGCCCTCTGCTGCAGAGTGCAGGTGGAGGGGAAGGCTCCCACAGAAGACGGGCACCAGCAGGGCTGGGGAGCGGCTGTGGCAGAGGAGGTGGGCTGCAGAGGGGCAGTGGGCAGTGAGCCGGAGCAGGTGGGGGCCCTATGGAAGGCAGGACTCATGTCTGACCTGTGGGTGGGCCAAGGTGGGCCTCCTTCCACCCGAGAGTCGGGAAGACGCCAAGACTCCAGCAGAGAAGACGGGTCCTGCTACTCTAGAGAACAGGCCGCTGAGCGCTGAGATGAACCCAAGTCACAGGTGCCAACCAGGTGAGCCCCACCCACCAGGCCTGGACCAGTGGCAGGTACAACAGAGCAGGTGACTTGAGAGCCACACCTGGGGATGTGGGGACAGTTCCCGCTGCTTCTTGAGACCGGATGGTGGTCTGGGGACAAGGGAGGGCAGGATGCCTGAGCAGAGCGAGAAGGGAGGGCCAAGTGGAGGTGCAGGCAGCCCAGGCCATCTCCACCCGGAGCTGCCTCCAGGTGAGGGCTGCGCCCCTGGACAGAAGCACATAGCACCGTGGACAATGCCCTGAGCCAGCCGGTTAGGACCAAGGGCAGGTGCCCGGCTGTGCTCACCCGCCCATGCTCGCATCCACGTGCATCTGGGGCCCAGCGTGCGCCGGTGGCATCAGGTGCTCGGGTTCCTGTGTCCCTGGGCTTGTTGAAGGGAAAGAACAGCAGGCAGCTAGTTAGGCAGGGAACATTTATGTAATCCGCAAGTACCAGGAAAATTGGGGTGGAGATTTTACCTTGGGTGGAAAGTCCCCCGCAGACTGCTGAATGTCCCCGGGCGACGTATGTGGAGGCGGTACCAGCGCTGGCTTCAGTCCCTTCTTCCCTGAAACCCTGCAAGCCCACCCTGAGCTCCAGGCCACTGGAGCCACTCAGGAGAACGTGAAACAGATAAAGAGCTGGAGTGCGAGGCCTGGGAAGGGGACCTGCGGGGGCGACCTCCAGTCAGAGGAGGGTGTGGGCTCTGGGTCACTCCAGCCTGCCCACGAAGGGGACGTGTGGCCAGAGCATCCCAGAGGAGGCTCCTGCTGAGCAGGCCTGGACCAGCCCCTCAAAGTGGCTGCCAGGAGGATCCCACCCCAGTAACTGTGCAGCTGCAGCCTGTGCCCAGCCAGGGCCCCTTGTTCCTCTGTCCTGGGGGCTCCCTCTCACTGGGTGCCTCTTGTCCTGTAGATCCCAGGCCTCACTTGTTGCTGAGCTGGCATCACTGACCGTGGGCAGCTGTCTGCAGAATAGTCACTTTCTGCCCTGTTGTGTCCCCAAATGCTGAGTGGCTGCGTTTGGAGATGGGCCTCTGGGAGTGTCATAAGAAGAAATGAGGCCAGGGATGGGCTCCTTAGAAGAGGAGACACCAGACAGCTAGCCCCTGGCCACCTCCTGCATGTGGGCAAAGGCCAGACTGAGGACCGAGTGAGGAGGACCACTGTGAGCCAGGGAGAAAGGCCCCCAGGAGCCAGCCAGCGCCCTGATGGCAGACTTCCAGCCCCCAGAACCTGGAGCACGCAGCCTGGAGCTCCTGCAGCAGCCCCCGCTGACCGGCACACACCCTCCCTGTGACCGACAGCAGAAAGGGACTCGGCATCACCGTCACCCCAGGTCCCGAGGCCCAGGCAGATGCAGTGCTCTCCTGGTCCTGGCTCTGAGTGGGGATGTCCCAGCTCACGGGACCTGGGCAAATTCCTCCTGGCTTCAGGAGCCATCGGGCCCCAGGCCTCCTCTGGCAGTTCTCTTGACCAGGTGGCCCTCGTGACTGCTCCAGGTGGGGTGTTCTGAAGCACATCACCCGATTGCTCTGTTAGTTTCCCAGTCCTTTCCTGTTGCTGTGACTGAACACCACAGACTGGGTGACTGAACAGAGGTTGAAGTTCCCATGCTGCTCCAGGCCAAGTGGGAAGGAGGAAAGAAGGCAGGTGTTGGAAGACAGGCAAGGCAGGCACTCAGGGGACCGCTCTCCCAACCTGCTCTCAGGATACCGACCCCTCCCTGGGGACCTGCGTGGATCTGTGACCTCTCACCTCTTCTGGGTTCTGTCACCCCCCAGCACTGCCCCTTGGAAATCCAATTCCAACTTAGTCTAGGGGACAGATGGCATCTGAGCCCAGCAGTTCTTCCTCGGTGGTGCTCACTCTGTCTTGGATGTGCTGCGCCTCCGGCAAAAATAGCACGGAGCCCAGCCAGTGTGTGTTCAAGAGAAAGGAAGGGCAGAATTCATAAGGAAGGGCAGAATCCACCGGGAAGGATGCCCTGTGCCTACCTGTGGGGCGACTGCCGTCGTCTTGGGAACTGCATCCAGGGCAGTGTTGGGTGAAAGCGAGGCAGGGCTGCAGGCCTCTCCAGGCAGGCAGAAGACACTGCACGCTGGAGCCATGCGGGCTTCCTGGCCCCCGGGGTGTGGAGCCTCCACTTTCCTCTGCCCTGCTGCTGAGAGGTTCCCCCTGCCTCTAGAATGTTCTAGGGCTGGAGAGACTCAGTGATCCTGAGTGATGAAAATTCCAGAGAAACCACAAGGATTATTGACAAACAATTGTGACAGCAGAGTCTGGAAAAAACATCTAGCTTCAAAAAGTGCCTGGTGTCCACCAATGACCACAAAACCCCAAACCTGATTCTTGCTCCTGAGTTGTGACTGGCCCTCTGATGGCTTCTGGACCTCAGGAAGTGTCCTAACAGAAACAGCATGGCCACAGCTCCCACTGGACAGAACTCTTGACCAGGCAGGACCCCTCGTGAGGAGGGCGGTGCCCTTTCCCACCAGGCGCTGACTAAGGAGGCTCCCACGCGGCCCTGTATGGAGCAGGGATGGTGGACAGAGAAGGGGACAGCTCTCGAGTGGCACTTCTTTCTGGAGGACGGAGGCATTCAGGAGGCAGGTGCAAACTTACAAGCACATTAATGCACAGTCAAGCCTGGAGGACCCTGGAGGGACAGGAGCCTGGGTGCCTGAGTGTCCTGTGAAGAGAGCCAGTGTCCCTGGGGGCTACAGGAAGCCACGGGCCAGGCAAGTCGGCTGGCGGGGCGCGCCCCCCGACTGCATCCTGAAGTGGGTGAGGCACTGCCCCGCTGGGCCTCTGCAAGTTGGCCGGGGGGGGGGCCTGGTGACCGGGTGTGTGTCCAGGCTGCGCTCCATCTGGAGACCGCCCCACCGTCAGGGGCGCCACGGCCATGGATCCCAGCAGTTACAGCTCAATGACAAAAAATAGGGAGATGAAACTGACGGGCATCTGGTGAGCTGGAGCTGAGGCTGGGCGCTGCAGGAGGGAGGCCGTGTTGAGGAGCAGGCTCTGTGCGCAGCGTTAGGGTGAGCAGGGTTAGGGTGAGGGTAGGGAGAGCAGGCTTGCAGTGTGTGAGCTTCGCAGCGCCCAGCAGCACCCCCACCTGGCGACCCTCACCCGTGGACGTGCTTTCCCCTGCTGCAGTGGGTGTCCCCGCTCCACAGGAAACCGCTTGGCCAAGGCCACCGACACAGCCGTCTCTCTGCACAGTGGCCATGCGGTGACCCGGCAGTGCTCGGCTCCACTGACCATCTTCCTGACCCGTGTCCCCAGGATACCTGGGTTTTCTCCTGTGTCTGCCTTTTCTCCTCTTGGAGGCCCGTCCTGTCTGTGCATGCACACGACTGTTCCCGGGCTCCGTCCCCTGCACCTAGCCTCTCTCGCAGGCTCACTCCCACGGCCTCAGTCACCATGCGCACACCCAGGGCTCCCCACGGTCTCCACCAGATGGCCTTTCCTGGGGACCCCTTACTGGGCACTGCCACCTGCAGACCCGTGCTGGACCTGCTGCCAGGCCCTTGGGAAGTTCGAAGGCAGCACGTGCCGCCTTCCTGAAGTCCTCTGGGCCTGTGGGGACTCCCTGTGCGGCAGGCCTGACCCCTGGGCTCTGTGTGAGGCACCTGCTCACCCTGCCTTTCTCTCACCCCTGCTGCACCCCGGGCACCCCGTTGTCACCAAGACGGAACTCTGCCTCCTCCTCTGGAAGCTCTCGTGGCTCTGCCCGGGTTCCCCTGCATCGTGGACAGACCGGCTCGGCCCCATCCTGTCGTTTGAAGGGGCCACGGCGAGCCTGCAGCTCTGCTGGGCTCCAGAGCTAAATGCCAATCAAACAAGACACGATTCCACGAGAGAACGAACGTGAACGGGGCGCGTGAGCCTCAGACGTGTGATGGCCAGTTGGGGACCGAGGCTTTTTCTCGGGGGCTCACACGATTCTTGTGCAGACTTACCCCAGGTGTCCCCAAGGAGGACGCCCATGTCTTTCCCGAAGGGTTTTGGGGGGTTCAGTGGCTGTCCACTGCCCCTTCAGCCTTGGGCCCGTGGCAAGGCGGCCCACCATGGCAGGCGTGGGGGGGCACAGCCAGGCCCCCCCTTCCAGGAAGCAGAAGGGAGAGGGGTCCCCAGGGCCCTAAGGGCACACCCTGGTACCTGAGGGCCTCCCTCGAGGGCCCACCCCCTCGAGGTCCCTCACACTGGGGCCAGACCTTCCAGACACAGGCTCAGGAGCCCTCCCATGGTGTGCCTGAGACACACCCCGTCAGTCACCTGCAGACGTCCTCCTACGTCACCTTGTCGGCTCCAAGCACACCCCAGGATGACCTCGAGTGGCAGAGCAACGGGGGGAGTCCTCAGGGACACTTGGCTCGTGACTCCCTGAGCAGCCAAGGTGCTTTGGGGACCAAGATGGAGGGCCCCTCACCCCTTACCCGGCGCTTCCTGTCATGCAAAGTACCCTCGTCTAGTCCCTCACCTCCCTTCCCTTACAGAACACAAGACCATGAGGACAGAGGGCCAGCTTGGTCTGTGCCCTCGTGTGACGGCCCTGCAGAGGGGTGACAGGTAAACGTGGCCTCTCCCCACGCCTGTCTCCCTCAGGGGAATCCGTGCGCTGGGACACCAGGCTCAGGGGCCGCAGAGGCCGGCGTGGCAGGGCTCATGCGGGGAGTGTCTTAGGTGCTCAGAAGTAGAGACTCCAGGGATTGGAGGCCAATCCACATCAGAGCGTCCCTTGGCCATGGCCTCGTCCTGTGGTCCATGATGCGGGATGACCACAGCCTCAGAGTCTCCAGGCTGCTCTGTCCCCTCCACGTCTTCATCCAGGAACTGTGCACACGGCCTCCCTTGCCACCCTGGGCTGGGAACAAGGACGGCAGTGAGGGGAAGGCTGGGGGCAGGTCAGCCTCTCTCTGGGCCTCCTGCCCACCTCACCACATGCTGAGGCAGGTGGGCGCCCAGGGGGACCCTGGCACTTTCTGCAGGACTTCCAGAGTGACTCCAGGAGGCTCTCTCACCATGACCTGGACCAGAAGGGCCGGAGCTGGGCGTGGATCTCCCCCCATTCCCAGGAGGGAACCACAGTGGGCATGGACCCGTAGTTGGAGGAGGTCAGGCCCTGGCCAGCTGCTCTCCACTTCTGGAATCTGGCACCGGACATACATCATGCCCGTCCTGTCCAGGCTGGACACTGAATTCGTGGTGGAGCCCCAGGGTTAGAGAGTGATGGGTGTGGATCCGTGAGAGGGAGGGGACGGGTGCAGGGCTGTCCTGCCAGGCCACAGCTGCTTCCCAGGGCACAGGTGCTCAGAGGCAGGTGAGGGCTCTTGCCCAGGCCTGGGAAGTGGGGGAAGGGGCAAGAAGCGAGCTCAGGGAGGGGCTGGGTGGTGCCCGAAGGTGGCTGGCATTCTGGTGGGTTCAGGCCTCGTCCCCAGTCAGCAGGAGCTTCAGAGTGGCCTGCTTCCCTGACACTCCCAAGCCTCAGCTGCGGGGCACCACAGCCCTGCGGTGGGGAGGAGGCCGGGGGTTCGGTGCCCAGAGGGCCGGCCAGGTGCTAGGGGCCGACCTTCCTCCTGACCTGGAGCTCTGTCATGGTGTCTCTGTTAAGTGTCTCCTCGTTACTGTAACGAGTTTGTTTAAAGCGCGTCTTACGTCTACAAGTTTTGTGCGCTCAGGGCAGACAGTCCGTGTCCTTCCTCCCGTGTCCACTCCTGACTCTGGCGGGGCATGGATCCGCCTTCAGAGTGCCTTGTCCACCCTTGCTTTCAGCAGGCTGCCTCCCGTTCCTTTGGTTCCATGGTGGGCAGCTGGTCACCGTTGCCGTCCCGCCGGGGCCAGCGCGGCTCTGTTCTGACGTTGAAAGCTCCCGCAGGGAGAGTCGGGAAGCGCGAGGACAGCGTGGCAATGCGGCTGAGATGCCCTTTCTCCCGGATTCTGAGCACAGGGTTGCCTTCGGGAGGTGGCTCCACAGCACCAGGAGCCACGGCTCATCTCGGGGCATCTTCTCTGGAGGGTGGGTTGGGTTTCGGTGCTGTCCACCCTTCCCTTCCAGGTAGGACCACAGCGAAGCACACCCAGAAGTGCTCTGAGAGGGGAGGGATCCTGTCGGCCGGCTTCACGTCACCGAGTACTGAGCACAGCCGGGGTGGCGGTCGTGCCCGGGTTGGCCTGACACTGCAGACACCCTCTCCGCGTCTGTGCGAGTCCAACCCACCCACGCGTTGCTCGTCACTGGTGAAGAGAAAAAGAGACCAACATGAGTCTGGGAGTGGACCAAGGCTGCTGCTCCTGGAGAAGCCAGGAACTCTCGCGCTCGCCTTCCCGTGTTCTCCGGGCACCGTGAGAGTTGGTGGGTCTGGTCCCGGCAGCCACCTCCAGGTGCACAGCCGAGTTGCGGCACGCACCAGGCAGGTGGGGCTCTCGGGGGGCTCTGTCCACAGAGACCTGCAGCACACTCCTGGGAAAGGGCTGGGGTGGAGCGTCCCTGAACTTCCCCAGACCCCGGCTACACCTGAACCGCCACTGAGCTGTGTGGTTAGGACCTGGAGGGCCTAGGCCCGGGAGCCCAGTTTGTGGTTGTGTACCTGGCATTCCCACAAAGAGAGCAATGCCCCCTTTCTCTGGCGATGAGGCGTGGTCGGCAGGGAGAATCCAAACTCGGGAAAGCAGTTTCCACGTCTTCGTCTGTAAAACGTCTTCTGAGACAGCCTAAAGAGAAGTGGGCCCCAGCGTTGCTGCACACACCGCCCTGTTGGGAGCTCCGCCGGCTCTGACCACACAGAGCCTTTGAGGAGACACCCTCGTCAGCCCAGGCCCTCCACGTCCTCATCTTGACGAGGTGTTGAGTTTGATGTCCACGTGCTGAGCTGAATCAGTAAGAAATGTACTGTCCGGTCTGTCCTGTGAGCAGATGATCGGAGCCCACGCGCCCATGTGCTGCTTCTGCAGGACCCTCTCGTGGCCCTGCAAGTCTGCTGGCGGAGGATCCGTGTGTGGCCACAGGGCTTCCGGTGTGGACCCAGCTTCTGCTGTGCTCCTGAGACGCGATCTGATTCACCCGGGCCTAAAACACAAGCTGTCACTCGCACATGTTACGTGTGAG